GTTCTCATTCATTTCACTGAACTAGAGCCTCTGAACCCATGATGAGTTCTCTTCCTTTATTGTCTGCTCCCAGTTTGGCATTCATATCGGCCCTAAGGATTCTGATGTCAACATTTGGTATATTTTCCATTAATGTTTGTGGTTTTCTGTAAAAATCTTCGTTCTTCTCAACTAGTTCAGCGTTGTGTTGTAGCACTGTGCATAGCATTGTATAATTTCGACTTTCTTTCCGGTTGAGCTGAATTTTGCTGTCGTCATCCTGCAAAAGGATATTCGTTCCCACTGTATCAGGACTCTGGCAGCCACTGATTACATCATGTTAACCGCTCACTGCCTCAGTGTGCTCGTGGTTGTCGTCTGGGTGACCGGAGTAGATTATTGACTCTCCCGTTGACAATGTCGTCAATCCACATCCATTCCATCTGCTTTTTCAGATACCCAGTACTTCTAAGCCATATCTTCGCATCTCTTTGGCTACCTAGGCAGCCTTCTTAGTCTCGTACATTGTACGGACATAAGAACAACATTGCTGTTATATGAATTTTTTGTATTTTTAATACGTTTTCTGTGTGTTGAAGTTTCTCTAGAGGTTTGAAAGATTGAGTGGTGTGGGGTTGCTAACCCTACGCCCAACCCTTTCTCTTTACCCGGGCTTGGAACCGGCTAGAAAATTAGAGAGCTGGTTAACTAGACCAGGTTATTAACCATTTAGACACTGGGAAAATGGAAATCAAATATGAACTCATGATTAAGTCTTTTGTTCCAAATTAGTAAAGATTTATGGAATGGTCAACAACAATAAATAACTGGGCATTTATTTTCATGATTAAATTTGACCTTCTTTAAAAAAATTCATACAGAAAACCCTATTAGTAGGGTAGAAGGATAGATAAAGTTGAAAATATTACGGGGATGAGAGTTATTCCCACCCAAGTCAGTATCACAGTTCCAAATTACTTCAAATTTACAGCTAACTTATGTTATTTTACATGAATACGAAGCTAAAATGCAGAACTATAATTGATTCATTTTAATTCCTGAGAAAACTTATCTCTCTCGATGTTACTATTCACGAAAGCTCAAACACAACGTTTTCTTATGGTCACCTCACTAACAAAATGAATAATTTCAATGAGTATATTCTTATTAGTAATCAACATACAACGCATAACATAACTTCGTCAACTTTCTTCCTCTAGTTTATATTTTCTAGTCTTTTTTTCCCTTCACGTTCCGCAGTGGAACATTGGGCTTCAAGCTAGTCACCCGAAGTTTCTGTAGCAATGTTTATTTTACAGGATGGGGTTGCTAGCCTCATGTCCAACCTTTCCTCTTCACCAGCATTATTTCTGGCTTAGGGAGGTAAAGGAGTGCGTCGGCCGGGGACGGAACCGCGGACTATGTGTATGGTCGGTGAGCGTCCTAACCGCTATGCCACCGACGCGCAGTTTATATTTTCTAGTCTGGAAACTTTTTATTAAAATGTTTATTAGACATAAAAGCGGATTTCTAGTTTATTTCTCGTCTAGTATTTAATATTTCATTTCGTCTGGTTTTGAAATTTATCCTATCTTGAGGGAATATTTTGATAGTTTGTTCTACTGTATTCATTTTTCTAATCTACATATCTTCACCATTACGCATTCATTATTAAATTTATTCCAATTACCCCTACTGAAATCGCCTAAAGGTTTTCAACAGATTAACTTACGCATAAGTAAACAGTCTTGAATCATTCGTTGACACATTTCCTGAAAGTGCATTCCTTTATATGAATCAAAACTTTGTGTATATATATACATAAATCAAGCATGTGTAGGCATTCATACATATTTTATCATTTAAAAAGCTAATAAATTATTCTTCATATGACAGAATATGCTGTGCATTTACCACTTTAATGATGTGCACAACAAACTTTATTATTGACAATCCACCTATATATATATATAAAATACATTATGATATAAATTAAAGAAATAATTATGACAGTCGAAAGACTTCAGATCGTTTAGCAGTTCTTCATTCAGACAGTGAATTTCATGGGATTTTTTTCTCTCTCCTCGAACTTCTTGTTTTGCTGCAAACAGAGAAAGATGTGATGTGAATAATTTCATAGTCTATATACATTTCTCAAAATTGCCCAGATATATGTGTGCACATTATTTTTTTCTTTTTTGTCAGCGTCTAAATTAACTTCTTCATCCTGTTTTCATACTTTTGCTTCCATTCTTTACTCATATATCTACTCATTCTCTATATATCCGAAAAACGCTCCTTTTTCTGTCACTCGTAAAAATGGTTTCTTCTTTGCTTCTCTCTAATTTGTTTGAATAGTTGAAATTGGATTCGTTTAAATAGACAGTTAACTTTCATTAGTCACGCAACAGTAAGCATTTAAAATTTCAGAATGAATTATTACCTATAAATATATAAGAAAAAGGATGAGTAGATACGTTATGCTGTAGGGAAAGAAGAGTCCAATTTATTATGATTTTTTTAAAGTAACGATTCACAGTTATTTATGAGGGAATATATATATTTCATTTACGTTTAGTAAAGTTCAAAATAATACGTTTTGTTTTTGTTGTTTTTTGAACACTAGTGCCCCCGAGATTAGTATCCCACAAACTAAATGACCATCATCAATGATGTAATGTAAGGATTAATGATATAAAAAAAGATAATTTCTGTCTTGAAGTCGATTAAAAACATTGCAGACTACATGACAATAAGGCTAATGTTTGAGACTAGGTATTATTATTGTTATTATTCCCTTGGGTTCCTAGTGGAACATAGGGATTCAACTGCATGTCTTCACTTGCTCCTTTCTTCTGCTGTACTTTTCACATGCATCCATGTTAGTATGATGAATATAAATTCAAATACAAGAAGGGTTTGATCGGATCGACTTTTACAAGTTTAAACCATATAAACATAATGTCTCTAAAATTATTATCATTTAATCAACCCAGAAATGAAAATTTGTCATAAGAGAAATGTTAACAAAACATTTTAGAGGAATTTCTAGGTATTTCCTTTTTTTAGAGAATTTATGATTCATTGAGTTTTTTTCATCAGTGAAGAAGAAAGGGATCTTATACGCTCCTCCTCCTTCCTACTGATGAAAAACTCAAATATATTTTTACTCTTACTTGAGTACACATCATAAAATAATATCCACCTACCTACAAGTATCTTCTTCTCTAAAAATATTAAATAATAACTTCGTCTGAGTCATAAATCTGATGATTCTACACAAACATAAAAGATAACTACTTTTATGAAGGATACATTTGGAAACCAGTGGTCCCATATTCCTCTGGATGAAGAATATGCATGACACTAGTTTCATAGAAATTTTATCTATTTCTGCAATCATAGATATTTATCTAAAATCTGATTGTGTACACATGCATCAACCCCAAGAGATGTTAATTTTTTACCAAATCACGGAGACCATATTCACATGCAACGATAAATGTAAGAATGTAAAGTACTCCTGGAAATCAAATTCATTTAACTATTTGTACAACAAACACCCAGAAACAAATGGCAGAGTTATGATAACATGAGTCTCGCTACTATTCTAAACTTCCTTCAGTTTCTTGCTAAGAGCACATTTTCATAATCGAAAAAATTTAGTTTATCAGGAAAAGATCAATACATAAGTAAAGATAAGTTACATTCTGAAATACTATCTGGTAATTTTATTAAATCTGTTTGTGGTTACAAGATTTTATCATGAGCTGACATCAGTTAGAGAACCACCTAAAAATCTGAGAGTACTGGACAGATGTTTCGTCAACCTAGTTTGCGACACTTCTACAGTACGCCCCCACCCCACTGGAGTTCGAAGCTAGGACCTTCTGGTTACAAGGCTAGCGAGCTCGTAGACCATTAAGCCACTGGGATCTGATCCACTGGTCCATGAACCCCAACTTCTGCCAATTCATGATATGGTGCCACCACTAGTGAATGTCATCACACCCGACCTGCTGTACCCCACTGATCACGACTTCCCACTAGAACAGCAGGTAACCCCTAATGTCAGCCCATTATGAAACCATGTAACTAATCAACCAAATCCTTATAAACCAATACTTGAAAATCAATGAGATGCTAACTAGCAACTGGTCATATTCAGGTAAGTGGTTACCTGGGGTTCTAGTAAGATGTCGTGACCAGTAGGATGCAGCAGGTTGGGCGTCAGGACTAATACTCGTTGAAGACATTGGTCGCGCTATATCATGAATTGGTAGAAGCTGAGGTTCATGGACCATTGGATGGGGTTCCATTGGCTTAATATTCTAAGAGCTCACTAACCTTGTAACCAGAAGGTCCTGGGTTCGAACTCCAGTGAGGTGGGTGCGTATTGTTGAAGAGTCCCAAACTAGGCTGACGAAACAGCTGTACAGTACTCTCAGATCTTCAGGCGATTCTCTGACTGATGACAGCTGATGATGAAATCCTGTAACCACTCAATCAAATGCCTACAAACCAATACTTGAAAATCTGTTTCTGTTTTATTCATCTGAATAGGAATATAGAAACGGATTTTTGAAGGTTGACTTAACAAGATAAAGAAGGCAAATATCTGCGTCATTTCACCCATAAACCGTCTAATAAACAAAGAAGAAGAGTCATCTGTATGGATTTTGTCTCACAGTCAACAGCAATTGATAGTGGTTAGAATTAATAATTGATATTTCTTATGAGTTAGAAGACGATTAACAAATAGGTTCATATTGTTTTCCCAATCAAATCTAAGCATTGAAAATCAGCTTGTTTTGATTTGTTTCTCAAAAGACTTTAAGTGTTCACAAACATCTTCGGGCATTTAGTTAGCATAAAACTGTGATTTCTTACTTTAAAGAAGTAGAACCAATTTCTGAGTAATGATCTATCCTCAAGGCACATTCTAAAATATACATATTTACATAAACAATTCTATTTTGATAAGTAAAACATCTTATCTATTTTCTTTTTCTCATTGTTAGATGGTCCATCATATGTGGATATTTATGGTCCATATGAAAGAATGATTGAACTTAAACAAAGAGTGAATGATTATAATAAACTAAGACTGACAAACAATCGAACCACTTTAGTCAGCTTTAATAAACAAAGTCTATACGTGTACCTAGATAGGCCACAATATTTACTCTGTGTCACAGGTGTTTATTATGGACAAACAGAAATGAAATGGCAAGGAAAATTACACAATAGCGAACAATGGGAATTAATTGCTCCACTGGAGTCTTTTATACGCAATGAACCAGATGAATTGAATCAATTCAATCTTATTCAAGCATCAATAATACAATTAGTTTCGACGAATACAAAAAGAAATAGCCTAGCCTGGAGTGAGGTGGAATGCATTGCTAGACCAGATTTTTTCAAAAAAGAAAATGATAAATTAATATCAAAGCATGTCAACCTAGAAATATACGGTAAATAATCATATTTTGACAAGATATGTTTATTTTATATCAGATTTATTAAAAGGATTACCTAGGCCGCGTAATAATGTCAAAGAATAGCCATCTATTATGGAATATATTCATTCAGCTGGAATTATTTTCTGCACTAAGCTTATTCTTAGCTGGTCAAAATTACTAGTAACCTCTTCTGAAATGTCAGTTTAGACTATGGGTTTTTGTCGGAATTTGGATTATTTTCCATGTTCATTTTGTCATGAAACAACATTCGTGAAAACCATAGAGTAGTGGACAGCGGTTTCCTTCCCGTTTGTGACTCTTCATCAGTTAAGTGTTCCTTTGAAAAGAATCCTCACATTAAATGAATTCGTATATATGATCATAACGAGGGTTTTAATCACTTCACATTGCTAAACTCGGAGTTTCTGTTACTTTGACATTCAGAAACATTTTTATCACGACATATTAACAGCTGCAGTTAAGTTAATCAGAATTGATCTCTTGGAGTATTCCCCTTCTATGTAATCGTCAACACAGGACCCAAAGTCAGATGTTCAACACCACTATAAAAATTGAGGATTTAACTGAATGTACAATAAGTGTCATATGATCGTAATTAAATAAAGGAAATGTGACTTCATTATTCACAAAACCTGAATTTGCCTAGGGGACTGAAGAGCTTTGAAGTTGCGTTGAATTTTCGGGTTAAAGCTGCCAGCCTTAAAACCAACCTCCTTTTAAGCTGCTAATTCCGAATGATCGCATAGAAGCTCTCTAGAAGCACTTAAAACGGACTCAGATTCCTCAGTGGACTTGCTTGCATCAATGCTGCAATAGTTTGGGTGAAAACAGTACCTGCTGACTGCAAGAAAGTCTGACGTGCCGAACTGCCAAAGAATGGTGACTAAGGCCTATGCAAGAACTTTAGCGAAATCATGCCATATGCAAAACATTGAGCCACATAAGCCTGGGAAGACTAAATGTTGCTCTGGGTAGAAACCTTCACCCTAAACAAGCAGGATTCACAGAAAATTAATCACTGACTAATCGAATAGCGGCACTGAGTATCATCTTGCGAATATAGCTTAGAATGATAGTAAACTCTGTTGCGGAAATTTATACACTTTAGAAAGGTAGTTGACTATAAAGTGAGCTGGAAGCTGCTTCACTACTACGGAAGGTAGTGCTGCAAATAGTTATATGCCTCATTGACCAACTACATGAAGATACTATATGTGAAGTTATTCACAAAAGGAAAATCAGCAAAGAGTTTGAAGTGAAGGCTGAAGCAAGATAAGACTGGTTGTGGTAGAATCGATGTTGTGGCAGACTGTCAGGTTTAGAGTTGAAATGCATACTCAGGACTTACAAAAAAAACATAACAAGATATGGACTTCGAGGATTATTTATGTCTAAGGCCAAGAAAAATGAAAGGTCTATTGGCGAAAATCAACGAGTTGGCAGAAGAGACAATAAAGACATAACTTTAGGCTAACGTAAGGAAGGTACGGGTAATCAATATGTCCAAGCAACAAGAAGCACAAGTCTCCATCAGTGGAATAAATCTAAGGAAAGCCATTCATTTTTACTTACCTGGAGAATAGTGACTGTTTCAACTACAAGCATGCAGGATGGATTACGGTATAAAAGCCAGCCAGGATGAGAATATAAAAGAAAGACAGGCCATCATTACTCTAGAACCAATACAGAGATGCGCTTGGCGCGAACAAAAGGCTTCAAACTTTCAAAAGTGATGTCTAGTTAGCAATTCAGAAACTTCCCAGGTGTGCCACGAAAACCATTTCCAAAAGGCTACAACACACGTTTATCACCGGTTGTCATCCCTCGATACTGAAGTTCAAATTACCAGCCAGAAGGTATAAGGAGCAAGAAACTCTGCCAGCGAACCAACCAAAAGATATGCAAGTGTTGGTTTGCAGGGATTTGATTGATTTCAGGATTTCATCATGAGCTGACATTAGTTAGAGAACCATTGGAAGACCTGGGAGTACTGGACAGCTATTTCGTCCTAGTTTGGGACTCTTCAGCAGTATGCACCCGCCGGGATTCGAACCCAGGACCTTCCGGTTACAAGGCTAGCGAGCTCGTATACCATTAGGCCACTGGGACCCGATCCAATGGTCCTTGAATTCTAACTTCGGCCAACTCACGACATAGCGCGACCGCTAGCCAATGTCTTCGGCGAGTATTTGTCCTCACACCCGACCAGCTGCACCCTACTGGTCACGACTCCCCACCGGAACCCAGGTAACTACCTACCTGAATAGGGCCAGTCGCCAGTGAGCATCTCATTGGTATTCAAGTGTTGGTTTGCAGGGATTTGATTGATTTCAGGATTTCATCATGAGCTGACATTAGTTAGAGAACCATTGGAAGACCTGGGAGTACTGGACAACTGTTTCGTCCTAGTTTGGGACTCTTCAGCAGTACGCACCCGCCGGGATTCGAACCCAGCTGTCCAGTACTCCCAGGTCTTCCAATGGTTCTCTAACTAATGTCAGCTCATGATGAAACCCTGAAACAAAAGATATGCAATAGGAATCAGAGATGGGTCGGACATGCACAGAAGAAACGGTCGAGTGACACACACTCGAGGCCCTCTAGTGGAATCTAGATGGGAAGTGATGACTTGAATGTTGAAATGATGGAAATCATGTGAAGGGAATATGAAAGGCTATGGAAAATCATGGAGCCAGTTATGAGTAATGGTGTAGGAAACAGTGCAGTTACGGTGTGCTGCTAAAGTCTTGTGTTTAACTAGGAATGTAAGGGTAGAATAATAAAAGTAATATTAACGGGCATAAATGTTATTTAGAAAGGAACAATTCTAGTTAATTGGTGATAAATTATTACCGGATAGGATTTCGAATTTTTTCCTCATATCATAGTTTGAGTCAATGATAATTTTGTCACAAATTCACATCAGCCTATGACTGTTTTGTTTCGTTTTTTTCAGAACTTCCAAGTGTTCCCGTAGTCACAGGTCAAAAAGGAGGAGTCCTACTGCTTGAAGGCACTACTTTATCACTCCACTGTACAGCAAAGCAAGGAAATCCACCAGGAAAGCTAATTTGGACCCAAGGTAAGGGGGTTATTTACTTCCCGGTCACAGTTGTTTAATAATAGTGCTGGCATAACATATCTGATCCAAGATTAGTTATTAGTGGTGAATTTAAATCCTCAGGGAACTGCATATATTAGTCTTGTGTTTGTTGGCCCTCATATACAGCCTGTAGTTGTACTAGACTAAGACTTATCATCTATAAGAAATCTTTACATGTCTTATTTACTGTTTAAGTTATTCACATTCTTGTCAGTTTATCCACTTCTATATATCTAAGCAGCGTATTTATAGGTATATTGTGGTGACCAGTGAGAATGTGACAGGTTGCCGTCTTATTTCTGTGGTTCTTTAGATAAACCGAGTTTTCACAAAAGAATAAAATCAAAAAATGCGAAACAGCAAGACTGAATCAGCAAAATCCGAAAATTACATAGAAACTTTGATAGCTCTATTAGCAATTAATTTTGTTCTAAAAGCCATCAACAGATCAATAACGGTGTATCACTACGTCACGTCAAAAAGTTATTGCATTATTAATTTGAAGAAGAAATCTTTCCTCCAACTTTTGCTAAGATTGAAAAATGTCTTTCTCATCCTAAGCGAGACATAGAAGTAAATCTCTATTGCATAACTCCACAGATGTCTTAGGATCATGTTGGTGCATTCTTGGCTAGTATGTAGGAATCCAAGGTGGTTATATTTAACAGATGGACACCATTAATGATAAAGCTCACACATTTCCATGCAGTACCCATTAGGGCATCAGTTTGACTAGCACGGTTCTGTAGGTGGGTCCTTCAAAAAACAAAACCAAAGAGGTCAGGTCAGCCTTTCATCATATCTTAGACTTTCGACAGGTAAAGAAATTCATTCTTCGGGGTGTAGTTGACTGCTTTGCTCCGAACTTAACATGTTTCTCGGGCTCACTACTGGCTAGTAAACCAGACGACATTTAAAAGTTCGTCAGAAGGAAATCGAACCCAGAACCTCCTAACTGCTGCAGATCGTGCTACCACTGAACCGCTGACTAATATAGGATAAGTGTTTCGGTCATTATCATTGTCCTCCGACAATTTTTCATTGAAAATTAAGGCCTTGTTTTCATTCTTGACTAACTACTAGTCAGTCAACCGTTGTAATCAATAGCTACTTAGATAACTGTCCGTTCTGGTCCCACCAAGTTTACTTCACTCCAGTTGAGTTCGCATCATTGTATCGGCTTACATACCATGCTATCTTCTAATGTAGACCAGTTTGCCTATATCCCAGGGATGCACATTTAACCCACATGCAGCATAGCAAAAAACTAGCTAAATCTAAAGTGGTGGATATTGTAGATTTACAAAGAAGTGTATTCAAAGCTACCAAATAAATTCAACTCCTTGTTTTTCCTTATTAATTAATTTTACCTTTCAGTGACTACCTTTTTTCTATTTTAGCACTCAAAGGTAATAATGAAAGTGAGGTAATCGATGAATCGATTACTATTCAACAGAATCAATCAAAGAAATATTCTGATGGTATGCTTTTTTCAACTCTAAATATTAACCTTACAAAACTACATGATGGAGCTATTTACAAGTAAGTATTAATTTATTCTCATTTATTTATCTCTTAACTATAAACAAAAGGTATTTTCAAGTTAAATGAATAGAACTTTGACACAATGGCAAGGTATGATCCTATCAAAGAATTAATTTGTTTGATAGAATCAAAACGTGATACAGCATTATTTACTATTGCCATCTTGAGTACAGTTTTTTGCTCATAATCACAGCTAGGCACTCACATCAATTCCCAGATTCATTTGTATCATGTAACTGTATATTCGATGAACAAGAACTCAGTGATCAAACTCTCCCTCAACTTATACATATACATATATACATTAACTTTAAGAGGTGTAGCTGTTTATTCGCAAGTTAGATCACGAAATGACATTAGTTCGAGAACTATTGAAAACTAAGAATTACTGGTGTGGTGAGAGCAGGCTGCTAGCCGATTGGTTGGCACTAATCTACGTTAAGGTCTAGGTCACTAATATGGGCCGTGAACAAGGCTGAGTCAACAACCAATCACAGCGAAGTTAACGTGGCAAAATATGATTCGCAGATAGAGAACTCTGTTTGTCAAGGAATCCCGAAACAACCAATCAGAAGCCTGCGTTTGTCTAACTAAACAACCAATCAGATGACTGCGCTTGTCTATAATAATGTTGTCTGAAATATGTATAAATACGTGTTGATTTTCATAATAAAACGATATGTTGCCTGGCCCTTGTCTTCTGTTGTTACATTTGGTGTCGCTGCCTACCGACAAATGAAAAGCCTATACCCTGCAGTTTTTGATGGAGACATATGGATCTTCGGGCAGGACTTCAAGGCTTCTGCGCAGTTGAGTGGCGTTCAAGATCTGCCAGCGATGGAGCTGCTACTTGAGACGCTGCTGGGAGGTCGGGCGAAAGCAGCATATGAAGGTGTCGGCCGAAGTATGGACGAATGTTCGACAGGGTCAGGCAAACAGTTTCCAAAGTGGGAAGGACCACATATGGTCGCTTCGAGATGGGGTTACGCAGACACAGTCGCAATGGCGAACAATGAGAGGCGCGTGAACGTCAGCGAGCTCCAGAAATGGATACAGCGAGACAAGCCAACGATGACGCCTGCACCAAGTAGATCAAGCCGACTTCAGTCGCACGTATTTGACGGGGGGACGAGTGTGGTGAGAGCAGGCTGCTAGCCGATTGGTTGGCACTAATCTACGTTAAGGTCTAGGTCACTAATATGGGCCGTGAACAAGGCTGAGTCAACAACCAATCACAGCGAAGTTAACGTGGCAAAATATGATTCGCAGATAGAGAACTCTGTTTGTCAAGGAATCCCGAAACAACCAATCAGAAGCCTGCGTTTGTCTAACTAAACAACCAATCAGATGACTGCGCTTGTCTATAATAATGTTGTCTGAAATATGTATAAATACGTGTTGATTTTCATAATAAAACGATCTGTTGCCTGGCCCTTGTCTTCTGTTGTTACACTGGTAATCTTTTTCATCCAAGTTTGGGAATCTTCACAAAAACGCATTCATGATCCCACCAGGGATCAAACTCATTACTTTAAGTTTGCAAGACGAGATCATGGACTACTGACCCACTGGGATAGAATCGAATATCTAACCTCGCTATATATCGGTGACTTGGAGAGGTTATAACTCATGTTCAGTAATCCCTCGTTTTCAGTGAGTCTCTAAACAATGTCACTCCATAACTTAAGATGGAATCGAACAAATCCCTGCAAGCCAACATTCGAGTTGTTTTACTGCATTCATTTTGAATTTATCTTAAATTTTTCTGAAGTGATGCAAAATTCCTTCTTGAAACGTGTAGAAGTGTACATGTCTCCACAAAAACAACTTCCGTTTATCACTATCGACTCAGTTTAAGTTGTAATTACCTACCGGAACATTTTAGTTGATGAAAATGCTTTCCCAAGCGTTTGACATTTATTACGACTTTTTATACAAAGAACTCGCAGAAAAAGCATTATTTGCATAAACTCAATCGTATTTTACTGAGGACCATAAAAAGCGGAAAATCACATTCGTCAATGCCTAATGTATAATACGGATCCATAATTAGGTGGACAATTTATATAATCTCATACATATTTTCTGCTAATGACACGAGTGAATTTTTTTCTTTCCTTCAGTGGAACATAGGGCTTCAACCTAGTTGTTTAAAGTTTCTGTAGCAGTGTTTATTTTACAGGATAGGGTTGCCAGCCTCATGCCCAACCTTTTCTCTTTACCAGCTTTATTTCTGGCTTAGCGAGGTGAAGGAGTGCGTCGTTGGCCGGCGATCGAACCCCGGACTACGTGCATGGTCGGCGAGGGTCCCAACCGCAATGCCGCCGACGCAATTTCAGTTTCTAAGCCCTAGACAAATACTGCAGAACAAAATTAGTTCACCAAAATTCAAGTAGAATATTACCATCAAGGTGGGATCAATAACTATGTTCACAATAATCAAAACCAACGCTTCCCTCCGGATAGTTCATAGTTAGAATGACCTCCATCCACTCAAACAAAATCACATTGTAAGACAACACATTGTCAGTCCATTACACAACCACAAAGGGAAGAATTAAAACTAGCCAGTGAACAGGGATAGGGAGAAGTAATAAGAATCACGTCAACATATGATACGCAAATGTCATAGGAAGCAGTATAGAAGAAAACCGGATAATAATTTGGGTAGTGAGTTGTGATTAGATCGTTTAGGAGGAATTCTCCAAACAATCGTTTTGCTATACTATAGATGATTAATAATAATAATCTATTTGTTTGTATTTAGTAATAATAATGATCACGACATGACATGATCAGAAGTAACTAATTAATATATCTACTCTGTTTGGATGTAAGGGTTATTTATGCTGACTTATTCTATGTGACTATTCTACTCTGACATTATTACTATTATTACAATTATGTTCACAATGTCACCGACAAATCGATGACAGTCTAAATTTTGTAGATGACAATGTTACATTGAGATAAATAATCCTATATCCACAATTTATTATAATTAATATTATTCAGCATAATAGTCACAATTTGATTATGAATATGAATAAAGTATTTAATTCCTATGTCAGAAATAATAAGCGGTCGTGAATCAGCTAAAATGAATAAATTTCAATATTTATTCTTACTACTAAATAATTAATTTGACCATTATTTTGAATAATTATAAACTATTATTGAGGATAGATTTAATGGACTGTGATTTTCTAATTGAAGAGAAGATTTATAACTAAGCGAATATAAACAGTACTATAGACAACAGCAGACTGTCAGTCATTTCTTCATCAGTGATATTAATAAAACTATGCATTGCTATCGTATTTATTATAAATAAATGAATTCCAACAGAAAAGAAAAATGAAAATAGAATTGGCTTAAAAAAGAGACGTATTATAATACTGCCTGATGTGATTGACTTTCTCATCATAACAATAATAACATTAGATGAAACAAAGCCATGTTGATCTCATGTTGATTTAGTTCTGTAAGTGAAATACTTTTAAGTCGTAAAGCAAGACACTAACAGCCTGGCTAGATCAAGCATAATCAGGATAAAAACTGTATACATTTGAAATGAACATTGAAAAGTCCGGCAGATTACTAATAATAGTTTATTCGATATAGTAGAAAGTCTAGTTCGGATGACGAGGTATACAAATGGCTTAAAACACGTCAAAGGTTTGAAGTAAAAATGAAATATACGATACAAAATAAGCTTGTTTTGTTCTTCCTTTTCTTGAGTCAACGTTTTTCTCACTAAATGTATTGTATGTAGTTTTCTTGCCTAAAAGACATTTATCTAACATGGTATCTAACGGCCTCAAACTAAATCTTTCCAAATGTCAGACTGTTAACTTCAGTTTCCAATGTAAACGAAAGTTAAATGAAGCTGTTGATTCCTATGACCCTTGCAAAATTGATGACACTGATATAAAAATCAAGTCTGAAGTTAAGTATCTTGGATTAATTCTTTCTTCTGACCTGTCCTGGACTTCACATGTCTTAACGATTTCTAAAAGAATATTTCGTCTGACTTTTTACATTAAGAAGTTAAGGCACTCAGCCACAACCCAACCACTCATCCTTTTACAGTTTGTCAACTCGCGTATTTTACCAATTCTTCTTTACTATTCACCCTTATTCTTTCTTGGATTGTTTAAAAAAGACTACGTTATACTTCGTGGAACTCTGAAGACTGTCAGTAGGACGAGTGGTGTCCCATTGGGCCATATTGTTTACATCGTCACTGATAGGCACTGGATGTCATGCAGCAAATTCGCTAAAAGAATTTTGTCAGACTCTGAGCACCCACTCTACCCGCAGCTCCAACCTTGTGTCTCCTCAGGTAAAACAAGAAGTCTTTTCAGAAGAATTTATGCACGTACGTCTAAGTATGAAAATTCCACTATACCATGTTTGGCACGTACTTCATTTGATGGGAATAATGTCAGGCATGAACTGATTAACCTTCGTTGCATTACTTAATAAACGATTTCCTCTATCCTTACACCATCAAACTTTATTGTTATTGTATTTCTTATATTTACAATTCTCTCAATTTTTTGTTTTTATTTCTTTTCATAAGTGTGAACATTGTTTAAGCTGTGTTACCACTGTTAATCTTGTATTTCCCCTCACTATACTACATCAGCAGAACATTAGATTCAATACTCTATAGTAACATGCTAAAGTTTTCAAACTAAATCGACAATACTGTTTGAGACAAACTCACTGTTATTGTTATCATATTTAATAATCTCAATTAGTGCCTAGAATATTTTTGACTTTATATCGTATACGTGGACAAATTCCTCTGGTTACTTTTGTTTTAATTTTTAATTTCATTTATATTTTAAATAAATCAGATGCAATATTGTGACAAATGCTGAGAATTCCATTCAATATTATAAGTACTGTGTAACAACAGAAGACAAGGGCCGGCAACAGATCGTTATTTACGGAAATCAACACGTATTTATATATATTTCCTGTACATTATTAAAACTTATGCAAGTAGAAAAAAGGAGTCTTCTAATTGGTTGTTTTCGAGATTTCTCAGAAAGTGGAGCCATCTATCTGCAAATCATATTTGCCCACGTTTAAGTTTGCTGTGTTTGGTTGTTGAAACAGCCTTGTTCATATTTTCTCACGGCCAATATTAGTGACCTAGACATTGACGTAGATTGATGTCTACCAATTGGCTAGCACCCTGCTCTCACCACAACTGTTTTTGGAATAAAGTAGATTATTATTATTTAATTAGATTAGATTGTAACAGTAACGCTTATTCATTTAACTTTAACTTTCAGATGTGGTGCTATGAATCCCGGTTATCCGTTTACAAGTACACAGTTCAGCTCACCAATCCAAATCGGAGTTGCTTATTCAGCTACAGCATTAAATATAAGTGTCATAAGTGGAACAGGCCAGATGACTGAAAGTTCAAATATACGCGAAGAACTTCGAAAGTTATTAAGTCATTACAAGGTGAAATATAATAACATACAGATTCCTGTTATTCAATCAAATACAGGCTCTACTCTTAAGTTGTTGTGTCAAGTTGAAATGTCAAATCCAAAGCCTAAATTAGAATGGCGACTTCATCATTGTCCACCAGTTCAGTTTTCATCACTAGTAAAAAGAGTGAATGATACAATTAGTGGGATGAAACCACCGAAGGATCCATATGATGCTTTTTTTAAAAGCTGTCAGTCTATCCAGTTAACTGGTAAGCATAAAAATAAAGGTCGTCTTTGAAAGAGTTTCTAAGTAATTTGTCTACTTCAGAAAACGTGCAATAACTTGAACACCAAAGACCCTTTTCAGTACTACACTTCAACGATAAGAAATATTCAAAATCAAAGTAGCATAATATTAGTTGCAGGAGTATATCTAACTTATACGCACCTTTAATCTTCTGATGCTTCAAAAATTCAGTAGTTGAAGAAATATAAAGGTGGCAACTGCGAATTCTCATACTCTTTTCTTGGCTGCGAATAATAACCCCACTATATTTAACAGGGCTTATACGTTACCCAAGGCATTTTCTAACATTATGTAATATGACAAAGTGGAATGATATCTGGAAAAAATGGCTAGCTTTTACAGTGCTTTGGGATAAACTTGTTCAGGTAAAAGAACCATAAAAATCTAGGAAGATTACACAACCTCCTAGTCAAAGTGCAAATTTAGTTCAATTGAATAATATATGTTGACCGGCATGTTGCCACAACCCACCAAGTTCGTTAATTCTCATTATTCCTAAGTTGCACCCAGAAGTAACTTAAAACACTATGTTTCGCAAAGGACAGTTTTGTAGAGTGCTGCTTAAATTAGGCGACTTCCAAGCACTCACTTGATAAATTCGCTTACATGCGGTCTAAAACACTACTAATGCAATCCAGCGGAAACAAAATTCTCCATCACTTTTTTGCTCTTATAGACCCAGATATAGCAAAGTAAAGACTGCTTCTAGTATGTGAAACCGCCCGAGTAAATCTTATCAATACCACTGCTGATGAAAAGGTAAACTCGATTTAATATGTTAAAAATAAGGCTGAGAAATTGAGCGCTAGAATCGCTGGAGTAATTAGTAAATTATCTGACGATTTTTACAGGAAAATAAAAGCTGACATATAAACCAAATATATTTGCAATGTTTTTTTTGATTGGGCACTAGCCAGTGACTAGTGTAATATGTCTTGTCCTATCTTCAGTGCACACTGAATTCTATCAGTCAAGCTTGTAATGTGACCACCATTCTAGGTTGCTCACCATCACGGTGCACCGTGAATTGTTGGTATAAGATGGTTGGGGGCAATCGACAGAAAGCCACACCTGACCTAGTTTTCGTGCTAGTTGGCACTCATCAGCATGGAGTATCTGCAACCTCGTGACGGTGAGCCATCTACCATGGTGGTCATATTTCAAACTTGACTGATAGAATTCAGTCTGCGCCGAAGATGGGACTAAACACACACATTACACTAGTTACTGACTAATGTCCAATCAAAAATATCCAACACAGATCTACAGTAGGTCAATCGCGAGCCTGAATAGCTCAGCGATAATGTCTATGACTGCAGCAATGGGTAACGCGGGTTCGAATCTCGGAAGGGACATGAGTTTCTTCGAGGTTGCAGATACGCCTTGCTGACGATTGCCAAATAGCACAAAACCTAGGTCAGGTGTGGCTTCCTACCGACTGTCTCTAACCATCTAATACCGTGTTTTATTCAGAGCTTTCAAATGCACAATGCAACGAAAACAGCATAATTCGATTTTCATAAATTTATTCCCCTTAATTAATTTGAACAAAGCAAGAACTACAGTTTTAGCAGAATAAAATGGTACCATCTTTGAATTGTAATTGAATTGCATAATATGCTAAACTTTGGAGTAGTATGAATACTTTATTCAAATAAAATTATGAGAATAGAGAAGATAAAAAAGAGTCTATCACTAAACATGAAAACTGCTTGCTCACGTAAATGTAATCACATATACATATTAAAGTTCTTTATTTATCTCTTCTTTTTAATTTTGTAATTTTTAGGAAGTCGATTAGAAGAAACCTTTTCAGATTCAGTCCAAAACATTATTTTAAGCAGTTATTTAGAAATTCCTGTAAATATATCACATGATGGAGATTTAGTTGAATGTCTAATACGAAAATATCCCACAGAATATTCCAATGATTCTGTAAATTTCCAATCACCATTTGAAAAGCATGAAACATCAAAATCTGATTTTCAAAATAAACATTTTCAAACTCTCACTTTACTAAGCTCACAAATTCTGCTTTCTATTCAGTTTCCGCCAATATTTTTGAACCCAGCTAAACAGTTGAATTGGCCAATGGAATTTATTACAGAAAATACCGAACAAAGTGCTATACCACACTACATTGTAGTGGAAGGTGAGTGTTTAAATTTCATCCACCGACACACTAGGAACAGCAACTCATCAGTGTTCTATAAAATTTACTTATATGATCTCCAGTTTTTATCTTCATTTTCATCCCTTCTACGCTATTTGGAGATACAAGACGTGATATTTGCAACTACCTTCTAGTTAAGCTAGGTACTGTGCTGACAAAATATATGTCACATGAAGCTTAAATTGTGTTGATTGGTTGGTCATTAGCAAGTGATCAGTGCTGTTTGTCTGCTTTTCAGTGCTGACTGCAATGTATTAGGCAGGTCCATAGTCTAGTCTACAGGGTAGGTGAATCGCCACAGGGATGAAGCTTGAACTTCAATTAGATTAACTGATGGAATTCAGTCCATTGAGTGTATACATTACAGTCCCTTAGGAAATCAGTGGCGGATACAGCAGGTTAGTGGTAATATTTCTGACTGCAACACTGTGTAATGCGGATTTCCGTTTTTCAGAGGTCAAGATCAAATTGCTTGCCTTGGCCAACAGATACAAAACCTGGGTAAAGGGCTTCCTGCCTGCTATCTGTAACAATGTAAGAATTATTTTTGTTTCAACTATATCCATGGAGTGAAAACCAGGGAGTGCTGGATGGCTGTTTCGCCTCAGTGCTTGGAATTTATCAGCAGTATGCACCCACTGAGGTCGTAATTCAGGACCTTCCAGTTGCAAGGCAAGATTGTATACCATTCAGCCACTGCGATCAGACTCAATGGCCAGCCCATGAATTTTAACGTCTACCAATTCGTTATTTTAGTGTGATCACCAGTTAGTGTCGTCGGCGAGTATTTGTTCTCGATCCTGACTGGATGGACTCCACCAGTCACGATTTCTCACTAGAACTACCGGCAACTTTGTCTTGTGGTCAGGAACTAGCGGGTATCAGATTAATTTTATTTTCATATTATGCCTAAAGAAGCATTTTATGTTTACAGTGAAGGCTACAGTTTCATGTATTAGAACAAAGAGTAACGGTAAAATAGCTAAATTTAATAAGATAAGATATTTGAAAAATAATATAAATGAATGAAGGATATTTTCATTAACTATCTTCAAGCTTTAGAACTATAAATACGACAGCATTGGTTTTTATTTGACGGCAACTAAAGATAAACTAAATCCTGTCAATCATTTGAATATCACATTTCTTACATCTGAGAAGCTGAAAAAGTTTAATGATCAATTTAACCAAACAATAAATTCCATCCTCAGAATATGCTGAAGTAGAGGTGAAAAATGCATACATTTTTCAGCATATTAACAGTAACAATATAAAAATAATCGGCATTTTACTCGATTAGAAGTAAGCACCTCTATTTACTGAAATTCTAAGTATAATTATAGGATAACTTGAACAGTAGATGGAAATTGTTTGTATCACGAACATTTCTGTCATTACATGTGTCATTTCGTCTTTCAATTTAAGTTATTATGCCTGATTATTTATTGAATAAGTCTTTTCTCAACAGCCAGTTGCAGAAACATAACCTTTTTTATATTAAGTTGGGTAAAGTTCAACAATAGCATCCCAGGAGTGCAAATGCTCCAATGACCTTGAACTCATGCTAGTCGTTGACTAACGCCACCTGTTATTATCATAGCTAACTAAGATGCAAACTTCACCCAGATCACTCATTTTAGTCCTGTTTGGACAATGTGTTAATAGCTCGTTACGGTTAGGGCTAGGGTTAAGGTAAGCATTGGGTTAGGGTTAGGATCAGGGTCATAATTGGGATTAGGGTTAGCTTTACGGTTAGGATAAGGGTTGTGATTAGGGTTAGGGTCAAGATCAAGGATAGGGTTACAATTAGGGACAGATTTGGAGTTGACGTCATTTATATTTTAAATTTGTTTTATTATTCACATTCTCCTGGCAAGTGGTCGTCTATCCTCTTACTGTAAACCGTAATAATTTAACCGAGGGCTTTTCGGGAAGACTTCACATGAGGATAAGACAGATAAACGATTCATAAAAGTAGCTCATCTTCAGTCACCTCGACGAATACATGCACAAAAACAGTCTAACTTAGCAACTGATACTCCTTATTATAACTGGGACGTACTTTAAAGTCATGTCAGAGAAATATACCATGTTTAACGTGTTTTCATGCATTTTCTTGAAAATATACGTCATTTTTGTGCAAATATTCCTCACTTTTATGATTTGTTGGCTCAAGATCACTCGTGTGTTCCCATGATTGGGACGCTATTTTTGAACTTTGCATTCGTAGAACATATTACATGTTTTACGGGAAAAATATGATTTCTTAGACCTTTTTATTATTTACATTTACCGTTGAAGTGGTATTTTTCACTAGAAAATTTAAAACATGTAGGAGAAGAAATCCAGATTTGAAATATTAAACTGCGTGAGCTACCTAAACAGCTTGTAAGAAAAATACATGCTGTGTATTCGAGTGTTTTTTGCCTATCAAAAGAAATACCATAAAAGGTGGAGTATCAGAGTGCACTGACAAAAAGCCATGACATGAAACCGGTCTTCAAATAATGCAGAAGTTTTGTAGTTCAGGTGAATTGTATTGAATTAGTTGTGTTCTTTGAGCTGGATGATTCAATTGTGAAGTTTTCATCTTCACCTCTTCATCACTGGCTTTAGCATAAAATGAACTTATTTAAATTTTCCACGAATGATGCATTTGTATCTCCTGACAACCACTGTCGTGACTGGTTGTTGATTTACGTCTCTATTGATCATTTTTATTGATTAGTATAGAAATAGTCATCCTAGTCAATTATTAGTACATAATTCTATAAGAATATCCTTACTTCCCTGATTATCATTTATGTTATCAAGCAGATCACACATTGTGATCCGAACAATTTGGTTTCCAAAGGAAACTGTCATGAAATAATTTCAACCTTCGAACTGTTTACATTTCAGAATAATTAACTTGCAAGTTGTGAAACATTATTGCATAATAACATGGATTCATTTTATTTTGTGGGTTTACTTAACTTGCATACAATTTGTAACATTTAATAAAAATAAACTGTTACAATTTTAACATACATTTTGCTTGTCGGCAGGACTCGCCCCTCCACCAAGATGAACTACAAGAATGTCATAGTAAAAGAAGCCACAAAGATAAAAAGTTATCTTGAAGAATTAATAGAGGTGAAAATAACCCCATGAAATCAAATGAGTCCATATTATGCGGTAGCGTCGTTTTTTTCCGTCTCCTTTTTTTTGCTTTCATAAAGACATGAAAGGGGAAATTAATTTGCAGCTAGTTAATTGCAAATTGCTATTTTACTAGATTAAATACTATTCAAACACTACAAACATTAAGTCTGAAATTTTGTTTAAATGTATTATGACCATAAAATTATATGCAATTAAAGTAGGCAGAAGACATAAGCTGAGGTACAGATACGTGTGAAGTGAATGCATGTTTTGAAATTAATTTCAATTTCTGTCAGACAAATTTCGCCAAAAACATAAGTTGTTTCTTCAATTCATAACCATATAGCTTAACTTCTACTGGATATTAATCGATTTAAAATGCGTAAATGAAAAGTATATGGGAATTTTCCCCGTTAACTAGTCAAAGTTAGCATGACATCTTATCGTCTAATCTTATTTTAGCGAAAAATCTGTACATGAAGTTTCAATGTGATGGTATGTGATGGTAATTGAAGACGAAATCGAAAATCTCTGTCGTTGTACAGTTGTACAGATTTCTAAGTTACTAGCTCTGAGATCTACTAGCTGAGTTACGAGAATCAGCTGCCGATTAGATGATGGCCTAACCCACCTGTTAAGTTGACTTTTAATCTTCACGCAACAGATCAATCAATAATGGCTTGCCAGTTCAGCACTATCCCGAATTTTCATATTATCAGTACATTACACTTCTTCATTTGATTTAAGTAAATGTGTCCAAAAGTTGTTTTCATCAATTCTTTCGTGAAAAGAAACCATATAAGAGTAATATCATTTTAAAACTAACAAAGGTAACAAATGACAGGAATCCACTGCTTACTATCAAAAAGCTTTTCAGAATAATATGCTTTCGAAATCCATTATACAAACTGAAGAAATAACAGTCCTGAAAAATACTACTTCATTTTCTGCTGCATACTTCAGCTGTTTGTGAAATCTCACGTTTTTAACCTCTCAATGTGAAGTAATTTTTCTTAAGTAATGTCTTAGGCCACTTTTATTCCCAACTGCATTTCTTCTACAAGTTGTAAAATCCCACAAAACCTACAAATGCACTTACTTCAGATACTACTACAAACAATGGGGTTACTTAGATAGATTATTTAGAAAATTTAAACGACTGAAGAGTCATTACTTTCTCTAAAATGTTCAATATTTTGAAATCAAGAAATTTTCAAAAGTCTTCTTTATCTATTCACTTGGTGACAAGCTTCTGTTTTTTTTATAACTTGTAGGTGGATCACTTGATTTAGATTTAGAGCCTATTTCAAATCCTTCCTTAAGTAAATCCTCTTGGTTCCGGAATGGGACTCCACTTCCTATATCACATGTCACTCGTAGTATGTCAAAAAATGAAAAGGACTCTGAAAGTCTTGAATCGTCTATCATAGAAGAAGATACTAACAAACGTATTGTTGTAAATCCTACAAGAATAATTATCCATCCTGTTAAACGTTCCGATATGGCCAACTATACGTTGATTGCTACCAATGCATTAGGAAGTAATGAGTTCACATTTTTTCTGAATGTTACTTGTAAGTTTCATACATCCGTATTTTTAATATGCTAAACATTTTAAACTATTGTATTTATTTTCGCATACATTTTGAAGTTTATGCAAAAAATGATCAAGATTTATGCCAGACTTCTGTATTTTATAACTGTGGGAGGTGGAAATTATTAGAATGTACAGTGGTATGGTAAAGTTAGTAAATTTGTTACTTTATAAAGCATTTTGACCGCCTTGTCCGGTGGCTAAAACTGGAAAGATAGACAATTTTGTTAATCCGAGCTAAGTATGACTGATTCCTTCCTAAAATATCTAGTTCTCTGAAAAGTGTTCTTCATTCAGACTTCAGAAGTCTTTGAATCTCGGTCACTAACACAGTTTTCTGTTACCAGTCACTTATTCGATGAGTAAACTGCATATTTTGTTTAGATTTGGCCACTATCTTACCACAAGATAGGATATTCAACACTAGCTTCCAGAAATACTCCACTATATGAAATATATATTGTACAATACATGATTCCCGGAATTCAGCCAGCAAGGTTGTGTAATTCAGCACCCTTTAGTGCTAAGAAAAGTATAGGTGACCTGTCAGTAAATGCAACTGAACCTGTGTTTTTATTTCTTGCATGCTGTGAGATGTCTGAAAAACAACAAGAATGCAGCAAGTACTTAGCGTATTTGTACACTTCTTCAATATGGCTACGCGCCAATGCTTAAAGTACCATTTACTTCGGTCATATCCAAACAAATTAAACCTTATGTAAAGTCTCATTTATTCTTAATAATGATATCAGGGGACTTACAGAGATTCAAATATTTATTTTGCCCTAATATAGTTCGTGCTTCTGGAAACGTCATTGTAGTATTCACTGGTTTGATATGATATATATTTTAGTCTAAAGTGGTTTATCGTTTTGGGTGTTAGAGATTACGGCAATGACTGTCTGAATCGTCTATGTAGAAGTTTTTTGCAAAAGTGCATTACCTCAAAATATCATTCCTAAGAAAAGCATACTTAAAGCCAGTCAAAAGAAGTAAAATAAAACTTCAGTGGACAAAATATACGATACAGTGAATAATTAGATGAAGAACAATGAGAATTTGATGAATCTGTGAAGTAACGAGTGAATATATCCTCATCATTCAGGGTGGTTTAGAGTCATGTCATCAGAAACTTCAAAGTGCTGTAGTGTGATGACTGCCTAACTAGCTACAGTACGTGTACGGATAACAGAATGGAATACGACAATCTACCCAATAGCGTGTATGATTGCATGTTTACCTTCAGATTAACCAGTAGATTTGTTCACCGATGGTCAGCACCCAGTGTTGAATGATGAAAGCTGTAGACTAGTAATTCTGAGAATTTATTTACCACCACACACCCAAAACTACCAATGGAGGAGGATAGCAAAAAGTTAGATATACACGGCTTTTTATATTTACTGCTAATTGACACCGGTAGTTTATTATCAGTGCACTTCAGCGTATTATATAGCCTAATGACCACATTTCATGTTTAAATGCCAAATTTAAATCAATCGACTTATGAACAAGCAGCACCTTTCATTACATTTCAGTAATCAATTAGTGAGGATGTGAATACCAATAGTTTTATCAGTAAATGCCGTGTCGACATGAAATCCCTAGTAGGCATATTTACTTTAGTTCTCCTTAAAGGACACTTTTGACCAGTAATGTAACGTGGCGTAAATAGATGTATTCTTTCTAAGTATACAGACGAAATACTAAACAAAATATATTAACTCAAGAACAAGCTCTACTGCTGAAGACAGTAAAACTCCAAAAATCCAAAAATAGTATTTCTCCTCAAAACTAGTGTATTTTGATGATATATTGGTAAAATATGCAAAACCGTATTTATTTTTAAGAATTTTGCCTGGTATCTTTTCAAACACAGATGAAGTTCTGTGATGGCTTGAAGTGGTATTTCCAGTCCTCTTATGAATCCATAATTCGACTGTACTATCAATCAGCATATTTGATTGATTCACTAATTTTAATGTGATTTATTGTTTATCGACTTCGATGAAGAGGTGAAATCAGTTAGAGGACTATTGAAAACCAAGGGGTTCTGATTATCTGTTTTGACATTATCCGGAATTCTTCAATGGTATGTAGTCATGACCACGTTGCGGACTGAACTCAGAACCTTCGCTTTACAAGGGGTGCTATTCATTCACACGAACGGAATCTAGTGGCCTATAAATTCCTACTTCTACTGATTTGGGATATTTTTATTGACCAAATAACTAGTGTTCCACATCATCCTTTGAATATTTCAACTTTTGGAAGTCTTACTCACATATTAAAAATACAGCTTTATATGTTTGAAGGTAAAAAACTGGATGAATTAATAGATGAATTTCTTAACTTAACGATGCAATACTGTTATGTGGTAAACATTACTACTGTTCTTACCTCCTTTAAGATGGCCCTCAGTTGATTGGTCCAGCTTCAATAAATGTTACTGTGACTGGCAAAAAAGCTGAGTTAATTTGTCAGTCAGAAGCCAATCCAACACCAACTATTAATGCTGTCCGTTGGAGACGTTTGACTAACACGTTATTCGGTGCAGAATCATTGGAAAATCTCTATAAAACTTCAATTACTCAAACAACTTCTTCCTCAAGAAACCACTTTTCTCAGGCTGACTCAGCTGCTGGTATTCAATGTACTAAGGTAAGCCTTCATTAGATTGTTTGTTTTCTTGCATAAACCTACAATAACTGCTGAGGTATCTACCAGAGACTTTACAATTATAAGATCAGATTGTATTTAAGCAGTATTACTGGTTATATAGTTTGCAGTAAGCTACTTTACCAATAAATGCTTTTAAGATACATAAAGTCAAGGTAATTCACTTTAAGGTGATTAAATGGCAGCTAGTGCCTGTGAAGGGGAACAGTTTAAAATTATCAGTCGGTTCACGCAGTGGCTTACACAACCACTAGAACAAAAATATTGTATCACAGAAGTACTTTGTTTACCCAACGTTTAAAAATAAGTAAAATATTGATTAACAGCGGTTTGGAATAATCGTTTCTTCAGAACCATTCAGTATAACCATTTTATTATTTTTTAATCTAAAACAAGGACATAAAGCAGGACTGAAACGAATGACTCCAGTGGAGTTACTGGATGGAGCTGATGAATTATTGATTAGATTAACTAAAAGACTAGATAATGTTTTGGAATTTCAGATGGTTTCGTTTGACTGAAGCCAATCGCTGATCAACACAGAGGTGGCCCTAATCGACTCCGGTGACTTAGGGATTGACTTAATATCAGGAAATCGCCTCTCCGATTTACAGGATGCAGATGGCATCGTTCTTCTAGGTTAAGATATTGACGAAATCTAGAATCCACTGAAATTCTTGAGCAGATATTTTAATATGTCTGACGTGTGATTCACTTCTGTCAAATGTAAATTAATGCTGTAGGACTGGTTTAAAGATGGTCGGTAAAATGGTTGGGCATGTTAGCTACTCTACTTATTTTGGAAGTTGCATTAAACCTAATGGGTAGACTAATAATGAAATCCAGAAACGCATACAAAAGGCTCATTCACAATATACAAACTAATTTCATCCCTGGCTTAGATGTGATATGTGGCTGTCAATCAAAGAATGTGTGTAATGCTAGGTAGTTTTCTTTATACTTTTTTTATGGTTGTAAAAATATGGCACTAAAAAATGGAAGATTTTGGGAGGTTAGTCGTCTTTGGCCATACGTTTTTAATTCTATATCCCCACCTTAATTAGAACAATATGCTGAGTAATACTGAGCTTAGGTGTTGAAGAAGGGAAAGTCAGCCAATTAGGTTATGCAGCTGCATGGATTGAGATGGCTAGATATGCATGCCAATTCATCGCCTTTCTTGTAGAACAATGTTAGTTGACATAGAATTACACTGGAAATAAGTCTCTGTTAGTTAAACAAAAACATGCCACCCACTCATGAAGTTTATGACTGTTGGTTCGAGTCACCTAAAGAGACTGTAGACAGTTTGACTGGGGGGGTCCTTAGGACTAAAAGAAGCAATAACTGCAAAAAATTGTTGATGTGGTGCCCATGTATTCACTAGTTATCTCTTAGATTAATTCAATGCTCGTTGTTCTTCTTCGAATTATTTTTTTTCTCCGTTTGTTACACTTTATTTGTTTTTTTTTTCTGTCCTTATATGTATGAAGTGTGGCGACTGAAAGTGCTACACCTGTTTGCAAGTCTCTGTATTGAAAATTCACTTCACTTTACTCTTTTCCCTTGATTAAACCAAAAGCATGTGTCAAAAATGATATATATTTTCTAAGGCAGCTGTTTTGTACCAGTTCAAGTAGCACCAGTAGTAAAGTAAGATTAGTTTCAATTATAAGAAATGTGTATATACTTAGAGTAAATAAGTCTTAATGATCCATCATAAATAATCATCAAAAGCCGTTTAATGTATACTCATTAGGGTCTATAGTCTAATATTTGTTTATTCAGTTGCTTCAAGTTTTCTTTAAGGTTTTATCTGTATCTGAAAAAGATTCTAATCATCTTTATCATATCACAAGTTATTTAAATATCTTGCCTTAGAATATAAACAAATCTTTTCTTACAGTAAACAAACATTACTTTTGTTTAATCGTTGTGTACAATATCAGTGTTTATCCTACGTATAAGTTTATTTTATTTACTCATCAAAATAACCACAATAATAAGTCTATCAGTCATATCATATTTACAAAGCTTAGTCACTCAGTGCACAGAGCCGTTTTCCAATGTATATATATATTTGTGTTATTATTACTATTATTTGTATTTTCCAAGTTGCACAGTATAGGCATCCTTTTTGTGTTAATTCTTTCTATAGGCCATTAGTATTTCCACCTGAATAGTAATTATATTGGATAATTTTAAATGTAACTTACAGGACAATATAAACAAAATTCGTGTCTTATATGGTTAATGAAGTCAGTTTAGCGAGTATATTAGTTTAAGATTATCCTATAGAGTGAATCGTCGGTGACTAGTGAGATTATCAGTGTTGTTGATGCAGGCAAGGTGTGAGATCACGTGATGGACTAAACACAATTCTAAGATTGTGCACTATTTAAATTCTCCATGACATGACAAAATTTGTGCCTTTTGCAATAAGACCACATTCAGTGAAATCAATAACTACAATTGACTGTTTTTAATGGCTAAAGTGAGAAACAAGGTTGATTTGATGTTTTATATACGATGAGAAATTCAGAAGGAGATATGTGACTAATAAATACTTCACACAGTGAATCGATCGTGGCAAAACGAAAAGTGAAACTGATTCACAGGTCAAGTTGAGATTTAAAGAACGTGGAAGAGGCATATGATATTGAAAACTGTGATTGCAGTGTATTTTAGTTCATTTGAATCACTATGATAAACAATTGGTCATTCAGGAAAGAACTTGAGCGTCAGTGGCACACCGGTTAGGACTTTCGCCGATCATGCACATGGTCTGAGGTTCGATCCCCGGCCGACGCACACTCGATATCAATGGTCAGCCTGCAAAATTGGGCTACCGATATCACATGCTGAAAATTACATACTTGTATCCAAAGTGCTGTGTGGAGTCAAGCTATAATAAAATAAAAAATAAATAATAACAACATATATAATACATCTTATCACTGATGATATTCCTAATTGCGTTGGACTTGATCATGCGTCAGACTGTAGGTGGGGAGTGAGAAGACAGAAATACACTGGACCACCGATAAGAAGACCCTGAGATTTTGCAGGTGACATATGTTTAATGTCACCCAACCAGAAGACTTGCAAACAAAAACCAACAAACTGGCCTAAGAAGCTGGCAGCGAAGGCAGGAATCCAGGTTAAAATAGGGAAGGTGAAGGTGTTGAATAAACTACACAACGGCACCAACAACCAGCACCAGTCACCATCAATGGAGGAGATTTAACAGAGGTTACTTCCTTCACTTATTCAGAGAGCACAGTTTCAACCACAGACGGAAGGGATGAAGCTGTCAAAGTCAACCAGCCACAATCGGAAAGGGAAGATATTCACCTTCACCAATCTTAAACCAGTTGGGAAATCTTCTGCCGTCACTCAGCCAGCATAAAGAACAAGATTAGGATTTTCAACAGAAATGTTAATTAAGTCAGTCACTTCTTCTATATGGGTCAGAAACTTGCACTGCGTGTCACTGGAAGCATCTCCAACAGGCCATTGCAGACTTTTTTCAACAGATGCCACCCTCGCTGGCTGGCTCCATGCTGAAGATCAAATGGCCGACCGGCTAGGAAGAATTAACAACAAAACACTCTGGCTGGCAATAAACCAACCAAGAGCCGATTGCTCAACAAATATGTAGGAGAAAATGGAGATGGATTTGTCATACGTTCAGTAGGTTGTCGAATGACATCACGTGGCAGGCCCTCGAGTGAAATCCATATGGGAAGCGATGATTGGGTCTTCAGTGTGAGGGTAACATAGAGGAGATCGTGTTGCGGTGGGTGAAATGAGGGATTATGGGGAACCGTGGACTCGGCTGATATGGACAGCACCAAACAGAACAAAGTGGAGATGTGTTATTGAAGCCCTGTGTTCCACTGGAAACCCAAGGAAATAATAATATATGACAGCAATGTTGATAATAATTCTGACACTAATGGATATACAGCTGCAGAGCCTGGAGAAGTTATTCACAACAAATATTTGCTCTACTTATTCTTTTTCCTCAAAATATTATGGGTATATTTAAGTTGTGACACTGATAAAATATAGTTTTAGCCAAGATAATAATTCTGAATAAAGTAAAATAAAACAGTAATAATGACAGCTAGTGAAAGATTTTACCATGTCACACTCAAAACGATAACCCTTTCATTCTGTATACAAAGACCGTATTTATAGAACCTAACTACACAGGACCGAGTACAGTAACTAAGTGTTTATTGTAGTGACTTAAGTGAACTTCAATCCACTATCATCTTAATTCCAAATCTCTTATGCACTTTTCACCCTCTATCTACCTGAACTTGACTTATAAAACCATTTCATTTTTTTGCTATGACCGATTCATTGTGGCTTATTTGTTAACCACGTATCTCCTCATGTATTTCTCATAGTATATGGACCACTGTATGCACAGTTTTCAGCCAAGGCGCTCCGCCAAAAAATCTGGTGAATTTACTAAATTTGGCTTTATTAACCTCCGTTTCCTGTTTTATAAGTTCCTTAAACTGGAAAACTCCGAACATGTTGTTTTTCCAAACTTTCTCAATGAAAATTATTGAAAAATTTCCAACACAGAATTAATTTACAGAAATCACAGTGACATAGTTACTTAAAATTATCCTGAATTCTGTATGAATTAAAACTGAACGAATTAACAGAATGTAAGTCTAGTTAAACAAGAAATATTCCATCAGGAAAACTACATTTTGAATATATGAAAGTTTAATAAGATGTTGAATAATGTTTATACTTCACATTCTGTTGTAACTATGATTCTGTATGGGTTTTGACAGACTAAAAATGTTCATGTAATTTGGCACATGAATTTCTTGAAAACATGGGCCGGGATTGAATCGCAATCATCCTGATTCTATTTGCATGATGCCGCCTGAAACTTGGGTCCACAATGCGAAATTCGGCTTTTAAAAGTAAGGGGATAATTGAAGTAAATAACA